TGTGAAATATTTTCCTGCTCCAGGGGGTATCAATATATTAGACAGAAAGTCTCAAAAAATAAATAAGGTCTGTTCTCATATAGAAACTAGTCAACATGGACATAATTCTAGTATTCCCAGAATATAAAGACTCAAAACTTCTGATATTTTAAAAATGTGCTTTTTGAAAAACAAACAAACAAACCTTTCTCACCAAAACTGTTAGCTCAGAGGCTTTTTTTTTCATGTGATTAAATTAATGTCAGTGAGGTGAATCTTGAACAAATCAGACCAATGTGACAATTTTGGATTAAAAAATCCTCAGCAACCCATAATTTCCCTGTCAGTATACAGTAAAACTGTAAAAAGTATTTTTATAATATTTGCATTTGTTTTCTCTTGAAGGGACTAGTTAATCTGAGCTTCCCAAGCATCATACAGTGATCTACTAATTAGAAAAGCTAATATCATTCCCATAAAGTCTTTTTAAAGCTTGTCTACTCAGAAGTCCATTTGTGCAATCCATAGCCCTAGATAATTTCTAAGTTAGAATACTGAAGTATTGGTTACCAAACAGTTAATTTTGTGTGGATAAATTGTTATTAATATAAATATATTTCACAGACTGTATACTCTGCAGGAAGGCTCTGGAGGTTTAGAATGCCCTCACTGTGAAGAATATTTTCTCACCTTTATTGGAAGACAATTTTCCAAGGATCTCTTTCATTTCTATATGTTTACAAGCATAAACACTGGCTACCTTTGCTCTGGATCATTTTTCCAAGGATATTTGTATAACAAACAGACTTAGAAGACAGTTTTCTCTCCACAGCTAGGGACAAAGTTGTTTACAGTCAGATTAATAAAGTTAATGTCACCTTCAAGTAAATTTCATTTCATTTCCTGGGAGCCTATTATAAAAGATTTGGGTTTCCTAAACTCCACGTTCTATAATGCAAACTCACTGCACAGCATCCACCTCTCCCCTCTCCATTGGTCCCTCCAGAAAGTGGTAGGCAAGGCCAGCTGATGTGAATGTGATGAGCATGCTGCTTGCATTGTTTGAGTAATAAACAGTCCCTTGTCTCTGACCCAGGAGTGTTGTATGTTCTGCAACATCCATGAAATTAGGGCAGACTAACTTGTTAGCAAGTAACATCTTATTATACCTTATAAGATAATGTTACAATTTCTGCAAACAATCAGGAAACCAACAAAACACCTTCCACACCAGTATTAAAGAGGGAGAGCAAACAAAATTGATTGGTGAGTAACCATTTCATATTTGCATGCATGAGAAGGTAGCCTGAAAGTGTCTACAAAGGCTGAATAGAATTTCACACATATTTATACACTTAACTGGAAAAAGAACAATTAACACTTCTCAAATCTTGGGATTTAAAATGATACACCTGTGATTACCTCCTGATAACCTAAGAGACAATCCTGAACTAATTCTGAAGGTATTTAGAGTTCCAATCAATGGTCAGAAGGACTAAGACTTTGCACTGTCAAATCAAAAGTTTGAGCCTTTTATTGAAACAATAATGTGTCAAGGAGACACTCTAAGGAAGAGAGGTGGGGAGGCCTGTGCCTTTCTCCTCTTCATTAAAAAAGAAAGCTTGATCATCTTACCCCTACTCAACCCTCAAGGGAAACACTGATCTAATCCTCATGATGTAGTTACACATGTATCTCAATAGAGAATATTACCCTTCCTCAATAATTAACCACATAGGACTGAATGAATGGATAAAGGAATCTATTTTGTGATTATATATGTTTTGTTTGGAATATTGATATTTTAAAAGATTTTATTTATTTTACTTGAGAGAGACTCAGAGAGAGAGAGAGCATGCACATGAGCAGAGGGGAGAAGCAGAGGCAGAGGGAGAAACAGACTCCCCACTGAGCAGGGAGCCCGATGCGGGAGTCAATCCCAGGACCCTGGGATCATGACCTGAGCTGAAGGCAGATGCTTAACCAACTGAGCCACCCAGGAACCCCTGGAATATTGATATTTTGGATGGGTATATGAAAGCCTCTTAATCTTTTTTTATCTTTAACACTCGGGTTTTTTTGTTTGTTTTTTTAATTAACATATAAGGTATTATTTGTTTCAGGGTACAGGTCTGTGATTCATCAGTCTTGCACAATTCACAGCGTTCACCATAGCACATACCCTCCCCAATGTCTATCACCCAGGCACCCCATCCCTCCCACCCCCCACCACTCCAGCAACCCTCAGTCAGTTTCCTGAGATTAAGAGTCTCTTATGGTTTGTTTCCCTCTCTGGTTTTGTCTTGTTTCATTTTTCCCACCCTTCCCCTATGATCCTCTGTCTTGTTTCTCAAATTCCTCATATCAGTGAGATCATATGATAATCGTCTTTCTTTGATTGACTTATTTCGCTTAGCATAATGCCCTCTAGCTCCATCCATGTCGTTGCAAATGGCAAGATTTCATTTTTTGATGGCTGCATAATATTCCATTGTATATATGTATACCACATCTTCTTTATCCATTCATCTGTTGATGGACATCTAGGCTCTTCCCATACTTTGACTATTGTAGAAATTGCTGCTATAAACGCTCAACACTCAGCTTTTTAGACTATGCTTTTACAGACTGAAATGAAATATTCTTTAAATAGTATCTTTTTTTATAAGAAATCCATAAGACTGGTTCTCATAATTCAGAAACAAATATTTTATTAAATCTTTAATTTTAATGGAAACAATTATTTTCATAGGTTCATAGGAATCTTTTTATTTTAATTGGGATATCATTGCAGAAATCATTTGTGCAGCCAAGACCACGTCCTGTTGGAGAATAATCCAATGTAATCAGAACTAAAAGCCCATGAAGGAACAAAGGTTGTAACTTGGGTCTGAAATCAGAGTCCATACATTGTGTATGTGTTTATTCATACACAAAAATAAACTCAAAATAGATTAAAAACTTAATTGTGAGACATGAAACCATAAAAATCCTAGAAGAGAACACAGGCAATAACTTCTTCAACTTTGGCCACAGCAACTTCTTTCTAGACACATCTCCTTAGGCAAGGGAAACAAAAGCAAAAAAAAAAAAAAAAAAAACTATTGGGACATCAAAATAAAAAGCTTCTGCACAGTGAAGGAAACAATCAAGAGAACTAAAAGGCAACCTATGGAATGGGAGAAGATATTTGCAAATGGCATATCTGATAAAGGGTCAGTATCTAAAATATATAAAGAACTTATACAACTCAACACTCAAAAAATGAATAACCCAATTAAAAAATGGGCAGAAGACACGAACAGATGACCAATAGACAGATGAAAAGATACTCAACATCACTGATCATCAGGGATATGCAAATCAAAACTACAATGAGATATCACCTCACACCTGTCAGAATGGCTAAAATCAGTAACAAGAAACAAGTGTTGGCAAGGATGTGGAGAAAGGGGAGCCTCTTGCACTGTTGGTAGGAATGCAAACTGGTGTAGCCGCTGTAGGAAATAGTATGGAGGTTTCTCAAAAAGTTAAAAATAGAATGACTCTATGATCCAGCAATTGCATTACTAGATATTTACCCAAATACAGAAACACTAATTCAAAGGGATACATGCACCCTGATGTTTATAGCAGCATTATCAACAATAGCCAGATTATGGAAGTAGCCAAGTGTCCATCAACAAATGAATAAAGAAGAATGGTGTGTACACACACACACACACACACACACACACACACACACACACACACACAGAGGAATATTATTCAGCCATAGAAAAGAATGAAATCTTGGCACTTGCAACAACATGGGTGGAGCTAGAGAGTATTATGCTAAGTGAAATAAGTCAGTCAGAGAAAGACAAATACTATATGACTTCACTCAAATGTGAACTTTAAGAAACAAAACAAACAGGCAAAGGGAAAAAAAATAAGAGAAAGAGAAATCAAGAAACAGACTCAACTATAGAGGACAAACTGATTTACCAGAGGGGAGGAGGTTGGGGGGATGGGCTAACTAGGTGATGTGGATTAAGGAAAAGAATATATACATATATATTTTATATATTAAATATATATTCTATATATAGATTCTTTAATAAGCATAAATAATCTATATAGTGGCCTATGTGAATTATTATGGAGTATTCTATTAAGTTTTAGCCTAGTTACAAACTACAAATGAAGCAAATTTTTCACTTTGTCTCTAGGACTTTAATTTGGTAATTCACCTGGTTTCATTTAATGGCTATAAATGTGATATATTTTGCAATGCTGAGATTCAAAGATTCCATAGATATATAATTCCCTGAACTTGTGTAGTTCACTAAAAAATGAAATTCCCCCCCTAAATCCTTTCAAAGATTGCTATATTTTTGGTGCTTTAAAGTGCATTAGAATAATTTGTAGTTATATATCTTATGCAATTAATTGCAAATAAGGCCTAGATATCACCATTATAATCCCTTTATAGCCATTATTAGTTTTTTAAGTATAATTTATGAAGATCATTTTAGATACTTATTTTTAAACTTTTAATTGGCATTTAAATGGTTTGTTATTTTTTTTTAAGATTTTATTTATTTATTTGAGAGAGAGAGAGACATAGCAAGAGAGGGAACACAAGCAGGGGGAGTGGGAGAGGGAGAAGCAGGCCTCCTGCCAAGCAGGGAGCCTGATGCAGGGCTTGATCCCAGGCCCCTGGGATCATGACCTGAGCTGAAGGCAGACGCTCAATGACTGAGCCACACAGGTGCCCCAAATGGTTTGTTATTTGATTACACTCCAATTTCATAAATTTAGTAAGGATTTTATCTTTATAACTTTATAGCTATGATGGTTAATCACTTTGAAGATTTTTTAACTATTTAAAAATTATATTTTGGGTTTATGGGATCTGAAAAAATATATCAATAAAGGTAGTGAATCCTCTTAAAGAAAACAAAGTATAGAGTTTTAACTGAGGATGGGAGTTTCAAGGCAATTCAAATGTCAAGAATTTTAGATTTTATATCTAAAACCAGTCTTTGGGAATTATAATTCATTGGCTTATGGGAGTCTGGCAAGATTCAGAAAACTCCCTCTCAGTTTAGGAGGCCTGTCCTAGGAATAGGGCTGGCTCTCAGAGATGACAATCTACAACTTTAAAAAAAATCACTGGCTCTTGGAAAAATCTTATTTCTAGGAAAAAAGAAGTCAAATAGCTTGAATGTGTATGTGTGCGCATGCGTGTGTTTTAAACGTAATGCCAATGAGCCAAAAAGTGAATTTATCATAAATACGAGTTTATCAAAAAATGCATTTTAAAATAGAGACTTTCATGACATTTAGGTTTTAAACAATTCTCATGTTTATTCTATTTAATCAAAATATTTTTCCATATACACTCTTAAATGTTCATGCATTAAATCATTCTTAATAACAATTTTTACATAATTGTGTGCCATGAAAACTGCCCTAACATTCTGGAAGTCAGAGAGAGTTTTCAAATAAAAGTATAAACATTGGAGTAGGAAGAATATTTTATGAAAGCATAACTAACTGGATTTTGCTGTGTAGTCTTAGGAGTCACTTTTTTTTTATTTTTTCCTCTTTGGATATAAAAAAGTGAGTTAAAGTTTTGAGATTCTCCAACATGTGGGAATTTGATTAGAACTTTCTACGGTCCCTAAAGTGAAAGGGATGATTTGGGTCTTTTTTCTTCATCGCATTCTCTCAGTGAGAGCACCAGATCATCTCATGTATATTTGCTTTTTATGAGACACACAGCAAAAACACAGCTAACAACCTCAGAAACACAAAAAGGAATCTAATGTCTCCCTCATTATTCGGATCAGAGATCAACAAGCAGATGGATCCTTATATTGAATGCAGTAAATCACAAAACCTGCTATTTTTTTCTTCCAAATTTCTTAGGCTTACTGCACTGTCTGCATGCACTTTTATAGCTTAAAATGATGGTCTTAAGAAAATCTAAAGTTTAAAAAACTTTTTGTAGTCTATGCTTTTTGAGATAGTTAAGAACGCACAATTTATCTATTAACTGATTTTTAGTAAAATGTTACCTTTTATGTTTAGTATTTTTCTTAATCTCCTGGGGGTGCCATGCCATAGACTGGGTGGCTTAAACAACAGGAATTTATTTCTCACAGTTGTGGAGGCCGGAAGTCCAAGACCAAGGGGCCAGCAAGGTAGGTTTTATTCTGTCTTCTTGGCTTATAGGAGTTTACATCTCACTGTGGGCTCACCTGACCTCTTGCTTGTCCACTGAAGGAGACAGAGTGAGTACTCTGGTCTCTCTTCCTTAGAAGGACATCAATTCTATTGGATTAAGGTTAAATGAGGTCATAAGAATGAAGCCCTGATGACTTCTTTTAAAGGTCTCATCTCTATAGACAGCCACACTGGGGGTACAATTAAGGCTTCAATGTATGACTTTGAGGCAGACACAAACATTCAGCCTATAAAAGTATTTTTTTCAGGTGTTTTGTATTCCAATACTCATTAATTAAAAGAGAAATTTGTTTTGCTTGGATACTATTGAGGAGGTTATAAGAGAGTGCTCTGCAGAAAAGTACTGTTGACACAAATCTGTGAATTCTCATGTACACATTTAAGAGCAGCAAAACTTTTCCCCTGTAATCCAAAATTCCTGGATTCAAATTCAAGGGTTTACACTGAAAAATGTTCATATGTCATACCTCCTAGTGTTATTAATCCAAGACTGATATCTACTAGTTATATATTTTTTAATATCGTGTAATTTTAGAAAAGATGTCAAAAGTTGTTGAACATGAGTCATTCAAATGACAGGAAAAGAATTCGTTGTAGAAAAAAGAATTCTGTGTTTCAGCACTGAGGCATAAAGATATAATAATAAAGACTCTACTCTTGGCTCCTCTCTCCCTGAACCCTATTTTAAAACTCACTGCTCCCTCCCCACATTTCTATTCTCAATTTGAACAAAGTTCAGGCTCAAGCATTAAATGTGCAGTGAAGGCAAGAGTATTAGTCAAGGTTCAACCAGAGAAGGAGACCAGTGGGCCATCAAATCTATAAGCAAATATATGCCTTTTTGTTTATGTAATTGTGGGGGCTGCCTACACAAGTGAGGGGCCTGTTAGGCAAGCAGTCAGGAAAAGAACATCATGGACCAGCTGGAACCCTGAGGCAGGAGTGGAGGCTAATGACCACAGGTGAGAGGCTCTCCACTCAGAGAAGCCCTGAGCATATTTTAAAGGACTTCCAAAGAATTGATTCAGGCCCATACAAGATCATCTCCTGTTCAACCAATTTAATTAGCAGTTTTAATCACAACTGCAAATTTCCTTCACAGAACAATCTAGATTAGTGTTTGATTGAATAACCAAGTGCTACTTTGTGTATGTTACAAAGTGGTTTTAACTCCTGACTCTTCCACTGATATGCATGTAACACTAAGCTGGTATTAAACTCTGACTTTTAATTTCTACATCTGTGAAATGAGAATAAGATCTGTATCACAGAATTGCTGTGAGGATTAAAAACTTATTATAAGTGATAGTTATTGCTATTATAAATTCATAGTTTTAAAAGAAATTTGAGGTATATTGGCTAATTTCTCATTGTTATCCTGAGAAATATAATGCTTAATATATACTCTTTCCTACTGCAAATAGAAAAGGATAGCAATTATATGGCAATTAAATATTAATCAATAGCAATAAAAATTGATAAATTGCCAAAAAAGAAAAGCTTTAAAAAGCATATGCATATGGGGTGCCTGGGTGGCACAGTTGGTTAAGCGTCTGACTCTTGGTTCCATCTCAGGGTCATGATCTCAGGGTGGTAAGATCGAGCCCCAAGTTGGACTGTGCTCAGCTCAGTCTGCGTAAGACTCTCTCTCTCTCTCCCTCTCCCTTGGCCCCTCCCCACTGTGCTCATACTCACTAGCGCACTCTCTCTCTCTCCCCCTAAAATAAATAAATAAATATTTAAAAAGCATATATATATATATATATATACATATATACATACATATATATAACACAGAACTTGAGCACATGAGCAACCGTTTTAAGTATCTAAAACACACATTCACAGCAAATAATTTTTAACTCTGGAAACTAGAGTTCAGGTTTTCAGAAATGCCATTTGATGTTAACTATAATTAGAATAGTTTGCTTTATAAATCATACTTCAAAAAAGATTTCAAGTATACCCTATCTCTTTGATGCTTTTCTAATATGTTTGCAAATATAACACATGCCACTTTTCATTCAAGAAAAGGAGTAAGATAAAAAACAGATTTGATGAATGAAAATCATAGTTTCAATTAAAATGTTAGTTTACCCCCAGGTTTTCCCAGGAAGACAGTAACTAAGGAACCAGCTGTCTCCAGAACCCTTCCCCCAGCCTCCTTCCCAACATACAAACATATAGTTTTATTAATGTTTTAAAACACTGGGCGCCTGGGTGTCTCAGATGGTTAAGCGTCTGCCTTCGGCTCAGGTCATGATCCCAAAAGAGTCCTGGGATCGAGTCCCGCATCGGGCTCCCTGCTCCTTGGGAGCCTGCTTCTCCCTCTGCTTCTCTCTCTCTCTCTCCCTCTCTCTCTCCATCTCTCATGAATAAATAAATAAAATCTTTTAAAAAATGTTTTAAAATACTACACTTGATGTCTTGCCTCAAACACAGAAATCCCAACAACCATATTTCAAAACTGCCAAAGTGTAACTTACTATAAGTTAAAAAGAAGCGCAGTATAGCAGGGACATGAGACAACAGTGAGAAAAATATTGTAGAGAACGAATTTTCTCTTTAGGAAGAAAATGTTAATTTGCTTCTCTATGGGTGGATTTGAATGTCAAGAGCTAAGAGGGTAGTGGGTCTCCCAGAGGCAAAGGGTATTTATTAATTCACAGTTTTTAAACTAAATATTCTGTGACTCATCTATGACTGATGTCAGATGAAATTTGCTATCTAGAATAACTCAAAAAGCTGAATACAACACAATACAATACAATACAATACAATACAATACAATACAATACAATACAATACAATACAATACAATACAATACAAAAACGAAATGGTAGCATTAGAGAGCAACCAAAGCAGCCCAAACTGAAGGGATTCAGCTCCTAGAGAGTAGGAAAGAGCAATGATCCTAACACCAGAAAACTCAGAGAGGGAGTTGAGGAGCAGCCCCCTGGGCTTGACCCACAGGGAACAGTGCAAATGATCAATGGAGAATGGCGTCCCCATGAGAGAGAGAAGTGGGTAGCCGGCAAAGGTTCTGCTCAAAGTCAATAATGACAACAGCAACAAAAGAGCAAGAATAGGGGGGTAGGAAGATGAGGGAAATTGCCAAGAAAATATCACAATTCTTTGCTAGGTTTTCAGAACCGAGACAGTTTTCAGGTTTGGAACCTACTGACTGGGTCCTAGGGAGCCCGAGGAGGGATTCTGTAACAGCACGGAAGCGTATACTGCGGGTGTTCCCATAGTCCCTTCCCAAAGGGTCCTCTGCTTATTCACTCAGGGGACTGTACACCCAAGAAAAGGGGAAATCATCAGACATTTCGACAACTACTAGACATCGAACACCAGTTAGTTTGCGCTCTTCAATCCTATGCAGCCCCAGAATCCAGGAATTGTCCTAATTCTCCTAAGGAGAAAATCAGCCACGTGACTGGTACATCCTGAATCTCAGCCTCCCAATTCACTGCCCCCCGGGGTTTATTTCCTCAACAGCCTCTGACACCATCAAACAGATCACATCATTTTACCGGGCTTTTCTAGTTGTTCGTATTAGCAGTCCTGGTCTACCCCAAGTTATTACATCCCATCTAGAATGAAGTTTCATTCAGCCCTTTGTTATCTTCTGGAATCATGTATTCATTCTTAGACTCTTTTTTTTCAACAGATATTTATTTAGTGACTGTTATAACACAGCATAAGATCAGAGTCAGGGAAAAGCCTAAAAATAAATCATCCCGAAATATTTGGCATTTACAGATATCACAAAATAGAATGCCCAGTGCTCCTCATACTTCGGGCAATTCTCCCATCTCCTCCTCCCTCATCTCCAATACTCTCACAACTTTCTCTCTATAATTTGCTTTAAGACTATCAAATTTAATCCTATTAAATT